AATGAGTGAGGGAATGAATATATGAATGAGCGAGACAATGGGTGAGCAAATGAATGAGTGAGGGAATGAATATATGAATGAGCGAGAGAATGGGTGAGAAAATGAATGAGTGAGGAAATGAATATATGAATGAGCAACGGAATGGGTGAGAAAATGAATGAGTGAGGGAATGAATATATGAATGAATGAGCCAGGGAATGGGTGAGCAAATGAATGAGTGAATCAATGAATGATCTAATGAATGAGTGTGCTAATGTGTGAGTGAGTTAATAAATATGTAAGCAAGAAAATGAGTTGGTTAATGAGCAAAGAAATAAATAAATTACAAAAAAAGAATGAGTGAATAAATAAATGAATTTCTCTCTAGAGAAGACTTGTTGTTAGGTGTCGTAAAGTCAGTACCTACTCATAACGACCTTATGCACAGCAGAACAAAACACTGCCCGATCCTGGGCCAACCTCACTATTGTTACTGCCCTCGAGCCCATTGATGCTGCCACTTTGCATCTCGTTGGGGGTCTTCCTCTTTCTCTCTGACCCTCCACCTTGGTGGCTGTGTGCCGTGGAGTTGTTTTTAGACTCACAGCCACCCTGTACAGGGTTTCCAAGGCTGTAAATCTTTATGGGAGCAAAACACCTCATCTTTCTCCTGCGGAACAGCTGGTAGTTTTAAACTACTGACCTTGCGGTTTGTAGCCCGATTTGTAACCACTACGCACGCTACCAGAGCTCCTTGACCACCTTACCGAGACTGGTCCCTCTTGACAATATGTCCAAAGTATGAAAGACAAAGTTTGGCCATCCTGACCTCCAAAGAGCACTCTGGCTGCACTTTTTCCAACACCGATCTGTTGGTTCTTTTAGCAGCCTTGTACCAGCCATCAACAGGGCACCAGGCCATTACACCTTCCCCTCCACCCAACCCCAGTCCTGGGAAGTGGGTGGTGCTGACCCACCAGCAGCCTATCAGAACACTCCATGCTTGTGGCCAAGGAGATTGGTTCAGGGATGGAAACATGACCCACATGGGCCAATGAGGGTAAGCTCTAGGGCTGGGCCCTCTCCCAGTAATGTGCTGTCCACTTCCATGAATATGGGGTGTCCCTGGGCTAAAGCCTCATTATTCTTCGATCAGAAGCCCTTTGTTGAGGAAGTAAAGTGACAGATTCCATAGGACCACCGACTTCAGACATCAAATCTTCGTTGACCTCCCCCTCCCTCCCAGACTCCCTTCAGGCTGAGACAGGCAGACAGACTGACACTTGGCTTACTCCTGACTCCAAGTAGCCCCTCAAACATTTATGAGTTGAATTGACCACAGACCCTTGTCCTCAGCCTTGATGACCCTAACCATGGAGAGAGAAGGCTGGCTCTGATTACCCGAGGCTAGCCCACTCTGGACAAGGCTAGCCCAACTGAGAAGCCAGCAGCCTAGAGTGGTTTAGGCTAGCTCAGACTGAATTAAGACCACCTTGGTTGGAGCAACAATGGTCCCCATCAGTGGACCAGGCCAGCCCAGGATGGACCAGGCCAGCCTCTGTAGAAGTGGCCTGTCTGGGCCAAAGCCTGCTTGGAATATCATCAAAAAACTCACTTCTTGACCTATGCTTGTGGATGCAGTATGACAAAGGAGTGAACAAATCTTTACAGTGAGGATCATTCCCACCCCCTTGGTATAAAGGGTTGACAAGGATGGGGAACTTAGATATTGGCTACCCATAGTGGGGGAGCTACAAAGGCAAGAAGTGTCTGGCTTACAAGATTTCAATAGGGAACCTAGTTCCAGAGGGTACGGAGAAGGTAGAACCTCCACTGAGTTGTTTCCAACCTGTCTGGATGGGGTTGATAAAAGATGAGAGGGAAAGGACTCCTGTGGTTCAATACGGAATGATTGCTATCAAGTCTGTGAGTGAGGGTTGGAAAGGTAAATGTAAATATTTGGTAACAAAAGGAGGGGAGTGGCTGATTTTGCAGTCCAGGAGTGGAGATCCCTGAAAAGCAAAGTGCGAAGTGTGGGACCCTGTCCCGGGAAGCAGTGATGCCAGGGTTGGAGGCAGAGATGATGGTGGCTGGGGACTCTGGATTCAGGGAGGGAGAGGGCTGTGTGCTGGCAGCTGGGGGCAGGCGTGTGGGGTGTACCCTTCGGTTGTTTGATAATGCATACAGGGGATTGTGATCATTGCAAGGAAATGAAATACGATAGGATGAAAGTAAAGATAATGTTCACCCATGTAAACTTACACATACTTCACAATAAAAACTTAAAAAACAAAATCACCAGTGCTTATCAAGTCAGGTCTCACTCTTGGCAACCCCACGTATATCAGAGTAGAACGGTGCTCTATAGGACATTCAGCGGCTAATTTTTCACTAGTAGATTACCAGGCCTTTCTTCTGACTTGCCTCTGGGTGGGCTCAAACAGCCAATTTTTTGGTTCTAGCAGCTGAGCATGTAAACCATTTATACCACCCTGGAGCTCTTGGACAACTGCTACCCCCACCAATGCTGAGAAATATCACTCTCTGAGCAGACTTCTGAAATTCCAGACAAGAAATCTCAGCCCACTTTCTGAGGTAGCCCTTAATTCCTGCCCCAACTCCCATCCTCTCCTCCAAGCCCTGTGTGCTCTCTGGACCCCAAACTTACCAAAGCAATGGCGCCCGTTGTTAGAGAGGACAAAGCCGGCCGGGCAGAGGCACCGGAAGCTTCCGGGACTGTTAGTGCAGGTACCAAAGAGGCAGAGGTTGGCCTCCTGTGAGCACTCGTCAACATCTGGAGGGGCAGGGACAGGAGGGCCAGGGGTTGAAGCAGGGTAGCAGTCTCCAGATCCCAGATCCCGAGCACTGGATGAGCAGTATGTGGGGTCTCTCTGAGAAGGCGCCTCTAGGGCCTGGGACCATGGTCAGGCAAAGGTCATGTTTAGAGACTAAAACTGGATAGCAGAGAGCTCCGCCAACAACA